TGTCACCTGCTCCAAATCAATCCACAAACAAGCACGAAAATCACTACACAAATGAAATGCTTCTTTTTCATGAGATTAAATCAATCAATTCTCGCACCCAAACTAGCAAGTCTTCCAACAAAGTCGAAAAAATCCAACCAAAAGGAAAATGTTTTAAGGTTACGAAATTCAAATCAAACATTTTAATTTCTCAGATATCTCAAAAACAGCTTGTGATGCTTTCCCAGATCCAAACAAAATACAAAGAGAACCTAAAGGCTTAAAGCAAAATCTTAGTGATTGAACAAATTTGGATGATTTGGGGAAAAGAAGAATACCATTGAACCCTTCAACCGCGGCATGAATTAAATCCCTGGTAAGAAGCTCGTAAACTTGAGCATTTGAGCAGGTTTCATCGAACGCATGATCTGCAAATCCGAAAATGAAAAAGAAAAGCTTAATTGAACAAAATCCACACTGATAACATGGTAAATCAAAGATGAAATAGAAATGAAGATCCAAGTTTTTACCAAAAGCGTAAGAGACACCGGAGATGGGAGTGCCGTGAGGCCTGTGGAGGGAGATACGGTTGTCCTCGACCTTCCAGTAGGTTCTGGCGGAGGTATCTTGGGAAACCATAGTCTTACTCTCACAACAACGCAAATCTTCTCCATTTCTCAAGGTAAGACTCATTCCTCGCGAACCCAGGCTCCTAGGTTCCTTGCGAACTCGTGAGTTGGGTTCCTCGTAAACCCAAGCTCCTGGGTTCGTCAGGAACCCGCGAGCTAGGTTCCTCGTGAACCCAGGCTCCTGGGTTCCTCGCAAACCCAAGAGCTTGGGTTCGCCTGGAGGTAAAAGAAAAAAAAAAAAAGAAAGAAAAAAAATGCCAGAGGAAGTGGAGAGTGACGTGGGAGGTGATGTGGAGGGTGATGTGGAGGGTGTTATTAAGTTCACGTAAGCATCTTTTACACATTGGCATATCCACGTCAGCTGTTCTAGTTAAGTTAACGTGTCACGTGAGCAAAATTCAACAGAATGACTAAAAAGGGGCCGGATTTGTGAACAGTAAGGACCAAAAAAGGAATTCTTTCTGTATAAGGACTAAAAAAGGGCTTTTTCCTATAGTAGAGGGACCAAAAAAGGTATTTAACTTTATTATTTTACTCGAGGACGAGTAAAACTTAAGTTTGGGGGAATTTGATGAGTTGAATTTGTATACATATTAATGTGGAATTGTTACCTTGATATTATTGATATTTGGATGAGTTTTATGAGATTTTACTTAGTTTTATGAGATTTTACATTATTTTCATTCTTTGTGCAGAAAAAAACTTAAATGCATAAAAGAAGAGCTTTTGGGATTAATTGAACATCTTTTGAAAGTTGAGGGACTGAATTGCAAGAAGAAGGGCCTTCTTTGTGGCCTTAATGAATGAATCTTGAGTTTTGGGATCTAAGTACTCATTGTACAAAAGCTAGAGGACAGATCTGCCATTTTACCATTGAAAAAATTGCAAAAGGAGGTTAGAAACTTGACATGAGCGTAGTGTTCAATACATAATCAGAGTGTCGACACCATGCATTAATCGTCCTGAATCAAACTTTTTGTTTCCTATTTTGTGTCAACACGTAATTTGACATGTCCACACCATACGTTCAGTATCCAACATTCAAGTTTCCTATTCTATTTCAAATCCTACTTCTATTTTAATTAAGGTTTCTAAAATCTTATAAACACCCATCCAAATTCAAAATTAATAGAGCTCAGTGAAGGCTGGTGGCAACCCTCTTTTAAGCAGCATTACTGGAGATCAAGACAGAGTATCCATCAATAATAGAATATCAAGGAGTTTGATTTCCTCAAATTGGATTTTGTTTTTCCTTGGATTTTTATCTATTGTTTGATATTTGAATGTTCATAACTATGATTTCAGATTTTATTATTTTTATTATGAACTAATTTATTTTACTATGGTTAAGATATAACCTAATCAATTCAATATAGATTTTGTGATTTTATACTTTCAATTAAAATTATTTGCATGAGGAGTTTATATTATTGAACTTATATTATTGAACTTAATACATTGGAAGTCTAATCATTTTTCAATTGATTTAGTGATTTATGCATGAACTTGAGAAAGAATTACGTAGATTAGACAAATAATAATATAAACCGTGTGCTAAACTATGAGATCGAGAGATAATTAGCTCACATGTGGTTGTGGAGGAAGAGAAGAGAGTTAGGAGCTCCCTCTTATTAAGCTAGTGGTTTCCATCTAATTTGATACTCATTAGTTTGTTTAAAATTATATAGAGATATGATTAATTTAACAAACAAGTGAAAGGTTAGCTTGAGAAAGCTGGTTAATTAATTTAGGGAAATCTGTCATCACATGCAATAACACTCAACAAATTAGCATATTAATCTAAAATTTATATTGATTGATTATGGAGAAATCAATGCCTTAGTACCTCATATCTTGGTTAGGTTTAATTTAATTGTTATTTTCTTTTTATTATTTTGTAGTTAAACTTTCTTCTTTTTCGATACTTCAAATAAATTTAGATTAATTATTTTGATACTTAATTAAACACAATCCTCATGGATTCCGACATTCTCTCATCATTATATTAATTGGAGCGACTAGTTCACTTGTTAGGGTAATTTTAGTGAATCAGAGACCAATATATGATCAATTTGCAGTGCTGATCACTGTTGTAATTGTATGGTTATATGCTCAGCTGCTAACTTCACGTTCAGTTTATAAACACAAACCTGAAAATACGCAAATTAGTTGCTGTACTGATTGTGCTGGACTCATCAGTGAAGCCCCATGGTGAGACATCTATGAATTTTAAATGCATCAAGCTTTGAATCTTTTGCTCTGAAAGGTCTTCTGTTTCCGTGCTTGCATGTTGCTTTAGAATGTTTGAATTTCTCGTTGTCTCTGCTTTCTGCTTTAAATCAAAGATTTCAGAGGCTCAACTACTCCGGACTTTGTAGAGCATCAATGCAGCTTTGATTGTTTATTGATTAGTTACACTGTTTTTTTTCTTTTTTATGTCTCTCACCTTCTCATGTGATGATTTTGACGATAAAAATATTGTCCCTTCCACACAGGATATATATTCCTTATCCCCTCCAATGGGGAGCTCCCACCTTTAATGCTGGAGAAGCTTTTGCCATGATGGCTACCTCTTTTGTATCCCTATTTGAGGTTGAATCCACATCTCACCCTCCACTCCTAATTTTCTTTGTCGGAAAACTGCATTTTAAGTCTTGTAATTTACTAATATAGGAAGCAAACACTAAACATTAATCCTCCCCATGTTCTTTCAGTCTACTGGCACATTCTTTGCAGCAGCAAGGTATGGGAGTGCCACTCCTGTTCCACCTCCTGTTATCAGCCGTGGAACTGGTTGGCTGGTACGAATCATTATTCATACACCTCACTAAATTCTCAAACCCTTCCCACAACTCTGAATTCTGCTTTAATTTTTCCTGTTATGCAATTTTCTAAATTTCAGGGAGTAGGAGTTTTGATCAATGGCATGTTTGGCTGTATTACTGGCACTACTGCATCAGTGTAATGAACATCAACTTTAGTTTGATAAATATATGTTAATTTAGTGTGATTTACATTATTTAATACTAGTTTGTTAATGCCAGAGTACTTCTCTTATGTTTTTCTTCAAAATGCAGAGAAAATGCAGGCCTACTGGCATTGACAAAAGTTGGACGCAGAAGAGTGATTCAAATATCAACTGGGTTTATGATTTTCTTCTCTGTATTTGATAGGCAGCTAATTAAACACTAAAATTTTCACGTATTTCTAAATGAATCATATTAAGATCTCCCTTATGACATCTAGTACATCATGTTATCTTGATAACCTCATTTTTTTAAAACCAGGAAAATTTGGTGCTGTTGCTGCTTCTATACCTCTCACAATTTTAGGAGCTTTATACTGTGTTCTCTTCAGCTATGTCTGTATGTAGTCTCTCTACATTTTTAAGTCTTCAAATTCCAGCAAAAAAAAGGTGCCTAACTACAATGTTGCATGAAGCTTCTGCTGGTCTTGGCTTTCTCCAATTCTGCAACCTAAACAGTTTCAAAACAAAGTTCATCTTAGGATTCTCCATTTTCATGGGTATTTCAGTCCCACAATACTTCAGAGAGTATTATCATGGAGGTTTGAGGTCAACCCATATTCACCACTCTACGTGGGTGAGGTTCTTGAACTAAAAATTTCCCCACTTTTGCTTTTCTTCTTTGGTGTATGGCATCCTTCAAATCAAAATCAGGTTATCTACGGCAAACTAAGGGATTCACAAGGCACTCAAGTCTTATACATGACATTTTCTGTATTGCAGTTCAATGACATTATTACTGTTATCTTCATGTCTGACACCACGGTGGCTGCTCTCCTTGCTTTCTTCTTCGACCTGACACTTAACCGGGAAAATGATGAATCAAGGGAAGACTGTGGATTGAAGTGGTGGGAGAAGTTCAGCATATACAAGTCAAACGTCAGGAATGATGAATTTTATGCCTTACCATGCTGCCTTAACAAACTTTTCCCTGCCCTCTAACCCTTCAAATGTTAGGACAAACAGTTCCTTAATTCACACATTTTGGAAATTTTGATGTTTTGATTCCTTTTGCAACTCTATGCACAATCTTTCTATTGCTATTTATGAATATAAGTCTTGGACAAATGATGGATGGTCCAAATACCGATATTAGTAAACAAAATTTCAGTTTTACACACTAGTGCATGAGTTTCGCAGGTTCTGTTTATGATGTTTGGACATTGTTTTGCTTAGTGTACTCAGAAAACAGTAGGGGGGAAACAAAAGATTTTGTTCCGGAAAATCTGAATTCAGAAAAATGAGATGATATTAGCCTATAAATAAGAAGACGAAGAAAAAATCAATTGCTTTCATTGAAAGTCGAACTCAAGACCTCCCGCTTATTGGTGTTCTAACCAGTTGAGCAAAAAAACCCCCACACTCAGTGACCCAAAAGTTATTTCTTATTAAATAATTTTATGTTCTGTACCTCCAGCCCACCAAGTTATCTTTTCTCCATTTTTTACTGGGCTAAGATTTTAACCTGAATGGGCCGCATGGCCCATGATTTTGTCTAATTATTTCATTTTACAAATAATTCATAATATTATTTTGCATTTAATTATCTTCTATTTTATAAACTAATAGAAAGATTCTCTTTTCAGTCTTTTGAGCAAGATGCCCAAACTTCAAATGCAGGGGAGCCTTCTATCAACAGAAAAAAAAAAAAAAAAAAAAAAAGAGTATGCGTGCGTTGGCAAAACAAGAACTTGGGACACCAATAATTATAGTACTGGTCGGTGATTGTTGGGCCATACACATGCCAAGTGACAGCCAAAAATCAAATTGGGGGCCATATGAAAATTATTATGGCATTGAAGAAAATCTTCCATGAAAACTCTGAGAAAAACAAAGGATGTGGGAATCTGTTGTCGTCAGCAGATCAAAACCTACCTAGATGCTGCGACTGACAATAATGGAATATAGTCATTTTGTGCCTATCTTTGATCGTGATCTCATTTGAAAGCCCTCAAATAGTGCCCACAAAGACACAGAAAAAAGAATCCAACCACAAAAACAGGGCGGATATACCTAAAAAACCTGTACATTTTCTTATGGAGAAAGACCTGTGAAAAAATATCTAACAGGTTCTTTTCCTATTCATCAACTATTCATAGACAGACTATTCGAAAGAAGGCAATTGTATTTTAGGATGAAGTTTTTCGGTCCAATTAGCCAGGTGGACACGAGTTCCACTCGCATCTAAAGAAGGCAATTGTGTTTTATCTATATACCAGGACAAGGGGACATGGATTGCCCAAGTTCAAACATATAATTGTGAACCCTATTAGGTTCTAAAGGTATGAATCTGAATAAGATTTCTTCATTGATACTTAACGGAGAAACACTATACAATATAAATAGGTGTATACAAGTATAAAATCTATTTGAACTAGGAAACAATATCTAATTGAACCAAGAAACAATATATACAATTACAATCTGTTGATACTGTAGATGTAGGAATTTATGGAGGAGATTTAGTGTCCTGAATATGCCCTTACAAGGCGGTGGTGTCATCAATAACATCAATCTTGGAGCACAAATTGGAAAACCGAAGAGAAGATAAAGGCTTGGTGAGACCATTAGCAAGCTGATTATGAGAAGCAATGTGAGAAACATGAAGAACCATTTTATCCACCAAATCACAGACAAATGGAGATCAATGGCAAAATGTTTCATGCAAGAGTGCATGACAGGATTAAGACTTAGATAGGTGGCCCCAATGTTAGCACAGAACAGTGCCAGAGAAGAGGAGCAGCAAATCCCAAGTTCAGCCAAAAGATGATGGACTCAGATAAGTTCAAAGGCAATAGTAGCAAGCACATGATACTTAGCTTCCATTGAACTCCAAGCAACAGCACATTATCTAACAGCCTATCGGGAAATGGGATTTTGACCCAGAAAAACAATATAGCTGGTGCCTGGTGGTACTTGTCATTCTACTACAATCATCAACTCAATTAGCATTGAAATAGGCATGAAGAGCCAAGGAGGCTAGGGACTAAAGAAGAATGCAATGAAATAAGGTGTCATACAAATAACGCAGAATGTGCTTAGTGGCCTGGATGTAAATCAGTGGGGCGGTGCATGAACTGAGCAAGTCTGTTGACAATAAAAGAAATGTCTAGACGGGTGAGAGACAAATACTAGAGAAAACCAATAAGTTTCTAGTAATTTGTACCATTAGTAAGTGTAGTACCAAAAAAAAGATGTAGATCAGCATTAAGAACCATCGATGTGTTGACAGGCTTGGCCTAAAGTATTCGAAAACGGTGAAGCAAATCACTAATGTAGTGATGCTGAGAAAGAAAAAAGCCTTCATGGAGAGAGATTGCCTCTATGCCCAAAAAGAAGCTAAGAGAATCCAAATCTTTGAGAGAAAACTGAGCACCCATAGTAGCTATAAGAAAGGAGATGGCATCAGAACTATTCCCAATGATGAAGATGTCATCCCCATAGACAAGAAAATAAAGCTAGGTAGAGTCCTTGTGGTAGATAAAGAGCGACGAATTAGATTGGGAGTGAACAAAGCCTTGTGACAAAATAAATTGTTTGAGTGCTTGAAACCACGCCCAGGGAGCCTACTTTAAACCATAAATGGACTTACGCAATTTGCACACATGAGTTGGAAAATTAAGATCAATAAAACAAGCAGGTTGTTGCATAAATAATTGCTCATCCAGTTTCCCACATAAGAAGGCATTATTAGCATCCAATTGATGAATAGGCTAATTTCTACTAATAGTAATTGAGTGGGTTTAATTATTAAACTACAAGGGTTGAAATAATTAGAACCAAGACGTTGATGAAAACCCTTGCCAACAAGGCAAGCCTGATAACACTTATTACTGCCATCCTTAGCTTGTTTGACATGAAATACCCATTTATAACAAATAAGATGTTGAGTAAGATCAAAAGGGACCAGCTCACAAGTACATTGACAAACAAGAGCACTGAATTCTTCAAACATAGCCTTTCTCCAATTCGAATCTTTGAGGGCCTGAGTCACACAAGTGAGTTCATAAGGAGACAGTGAAGAGACGATAACAACTTAATGATTAAGCTTGGGTTTGAAGATATTATTACAGGAATGAGTGACTATAGGATGGATTCTAATAGGCCTAGGAGCAGATGATTGGGGTGGTCCAGAGCCATGGTTGGAGATATCTTAGTGGGCTCAGGAGAGGATGGTGGCTTAGGATTGGGGGAATCTAAAGTGGGGGCTAGAGGACTGGAAGCATTTAGTTGTGGGCCAAGGGTGAGACTGAACCACAAGGTAGAATGTGGATTGGACCTTGGGCTAGATGTTTGAAGAAGGTGAGACACGGATTAACAATTAGGTGGGTTGGACATCCGAGATGATGAAGATGGGGAGGACTAAGATAAAGGAGATGAGGAAGTAGCACAAACAAAAGAACTTACCTCATAGACTACATTCTCGTGAGGAGCCAAGGCACAGATGCTAGAGATGGATGGCAAGATGGCAAGGTCATCACTTGAAGAAGCTAGGGGTAGAGATGGTGGAAAACCCATTATTTTAGTTTAAAGAGGAAATATGTGTTCGTGAAAAAGCACGTGATGAGAAAGAGACTTTACCAGTGGTAAGATTGAGGCACCGATAACTCATGTGCTCAATAAAATACCCAAAAAAAAAAGGCAAGGATGAGAACGATATTAAAGTTTGTTGGAGTTGTAAGGATGAAGCCACGAAAAATAGAGACATCTTGAAACACAAAGTTTAGCGAAGTTGGGCTTAACACGAAATAGCTTTTCAAAGGGAGATTTGTTAGAGATAACCAAGGAAGGCATGCTGTTAATAAGATAAACAACAGTTTGAAAAGCAAAAGACCAAAATTTCATGGGTGAGAAAGCTATATGAAGCAAGGTAAGCCCTGTTTTGACAATATGGCGATTTCGATACTCACTAATACCATTAAGTTCAAGAGTATATAGAGGGGTAGTAAAATGAGAAATGCCATGTTGAGTTAAAACATTTCGTAAAGCAACATACTTGCTCCCACCATTAGTATGCAAATTTTTTATTTTTGACACAAATTGAGTTTCGACTAAATCCTTAAAAGTGCTAAAAACCTAAGCAACATTAGACTTTTTCTTGCTAGGATTAGAGATGGCAACAGGTCCCCACGAGGGCGGGGACCCTCTTCTCATCCTCATCCCCATCCCCATCCTCGTCAATGGCGGGTACGAGGATCCCCATGGGGATTTTTTATGAATGATCAAAAATTGCCTCTGTCACCATACTCGTGGGGAATAATAAGTCCCTGCAAATATTCGGAGTCCTCGCCAAATAAAACTATCACATATTTCACTACTTGTTAATCAAAATTTTTACTACTTGTTAATCAAAATTAAGCTCAATGTGACTCTACTTAGACTCCACTGGTTTCTACATTTATCAAATAAAACTAACTCAACTAATCATATAAAGTAAAATTTTGAAACAAGATAAATAAGCAATAAATATAGACAATAACACAACCAATATATACATGTCATCGTCAAGCAAGTCTAGTAAGCAAGCCAACAACAAGTTCATATTTCATAAAGAAAAAAAGGCATAAACTGCCATATAAATCCAACAAAAGGTTTATAAAAAATAAAAGTATAAATTGTAACTATCATATATATCTAGATTCAACAAAGTTGATAGGAAAAAAAGAGCATAAACTGCTATTATACATGTCCAGCAATAAGTTAATTAAGAAAAAGCACATAAAAGAGTCCAGGAAGTGGCACATGCGTACATATCCATCCAATCCAGCAAGGCAAACTCTACAGTAGCAACTTAAACTAAGCTTGATCAATAATTTTAAGTTAAGGAAATAACTTTCTAAAACAAAAATAAATACCCCAAATTAACAAAATTTTTAAAAAAATTCTTCATAGAATAATTTATATAAAGAAACATTATTGTTTAAAATTTACCTTAGACTCATCATCCTCATTATCATTCTCTTCAAACTCCTCAAATAGATTGGAGAAATTCCCATTATTGTCAGAACCTGAATTTCAAACATAATAAAAGTTTAGAATACAAATTCAAAAATAAGAAAATAAGATAAATATAACCTTAATTTAATACCTTTCAAATCTTTTTTCAACCAATCTTGAAGACACATCAGTGGTTGTATCGTATTTGGTCTAAGCTTGCTCCGATGTAGACTAATAATTCTTCCACTAGTACTAAAAGCTGATTCTAAAGGTACAGTGGATATAGGAATGGCAAACACATCTTTAGCAAGCATTTGCAACATAGGAAACCTAGCCCCATGAACTTAAATTAGAAAGTACTAGATAAAACACTAAAATTACTAGTTAAAAACACTAAAGCGCTAAAGCACAAAAAATAAATTAAAAATTACTAGTTAGAAACAATAAAGCACTAAAGCACAAAAATTAAATTAGAAATTATTAGTTAGAAACACTAAATCACAAAAATTGTACCTTCAAAAACTATAGCTAATTGATACCTGGAGTTGGAGAGTTTGAAAAGAATCCAAGGCAGAGCTGCAGAGGAGGCCACGCGACAGCAAAAAGAGGACGACCCAACCTTGGAGTTGGAGGTGAGTGGTGGTGAGCAGTGAGCGGTGAGCGTTGCAGACTTGTAGTGGTTGTAGTGACGGCATGGTGAGAGGCTGAGAGCTTGAAGGGAATCACCGAATCACAGTTGAGATGGCCACACTACAGCAGATTGAGGACGACCCAGCCTTGGAGTTGGAGGTGAGCGATGAGCGTTGTAGAGGTTGTAGTGATAGCACGGTGAGAGGTAGAAAGCTTGAAGGGAATCATCGAATCATAGTTGAGATGGCCACACAATAGCAGAAAGAGGATTTCCCAGCCTTGGAGCTGGAGGTGAGTAGTGAGCGGTGGTGAACGGTGAGCGTTGCAATGGTTGTAGTGATGGCACGGTGAGAGGTTGAGAGCTTGAAGGGAATCACCGATTCACAGTTTAGATAAGGATAGAGAGTATTGAGCAAGAGTTATAGCACAGAGCGTGCATGATAGAAGAGAGGAGATTGACTAGAAAGAGGAATCGCAATTCGCAAGCGACAAGCAAAAAGACTGAAATCTTTGGATAATTGGATTGTTCTTCTGCTTCTAGGGTTGTGTAAATTGGGCTATAAATTGGGTTGGACAATTAGGTTTAGGAATATTAGATTGACAAAAAAAAAAGGGTTGGGCTAACAATTGGGTTTGGAAAAATTGAAAAAAGAATGGGTTGTGAAATTTAAGTTATGTTGGTATTGGGTTAACTAATTAGATTGGGTAAGTAAAAATTAATTGCTAACATATGTACAAAAAAAATATATATATATATAAATAAATTTATATATTTTTTTATTTTATATGGATCCTTACGGTTCCCCACTGAGTGGAGGAAATTCCCCGTGAAATTTCACAGGGAAAAAACATCCCCACCCCACAGGGAGGAATATTTTTGAAATCTCCATCCTCGTGGCAGGGATCTCCGTGAAGCTCCGTGGGTCGCGGAGAAAATTGCCATCCCTGGTTAGGATAAAGTCACACATATCTACTAAAGTGATCAATGAATAAAACAAAGTAATTAAAGCAATCGATGACTAAGATCGGGACTAGTCCCTAAATGTTTGAACAAATATGATCTAGTAGTGAAAAACTTGTAATAGACAAAGCAGAAAATGGAAGTTTATGACTTTTGGAACAAGAACAAGATTCACATGAATAAAGATTCATTTTATTAGATAATGGTAGATGATAATGAGTAACAATGGCTTTTTGCCGAAAAATGACCTAGTCGTAAATGCCAATTTGCTATAGTTGTGTGCTCTCCTATGAAAGCCCTTGGAGAAGAACTAATTCTTCTCTCATGAATGTTTGGTCCTTGAAGTAGAATCTTCCTTGTGCGATAATCCTTCATCAGAAAATAATTTGCATGAAATTCAACATAAACATTAGCATTATTGCATCATTGAGAAACAAAAATTAAATTTTGAGGAGCCGACAAAACACATAACACATTCCAAAGAGGCAAGGAAGAGGTAGGAGTGTTTAGTGTGGAGTGCCCCACATGTGTGATTGTCAAACTTGATCCATCACCGATTTGGAGTTCATCAAGGCCATTGTATTTAGAATGTAGTGTCAAGTTGGCCAAATTGGTGGTCACATGGTTGTTTGCACTAGAATCCAACAAGTAGTCATCAAGAAAACTATTAGAAGAAGAAGCAAATTAGCCACAGGACCAAGAGCTTGAACCCAAAAATTGGGGTAGTTTTGGACATAATGGCCAGCACGCTCATAGAGCTGGCAAGTGGAATTAGTAGGCTTGGTTGGGTATCTTGGGCTTGAACCACGGCGATGGTTCTGACTGGGCCTGTTGTTAAAATTTCCCTTACCGTGATGTTGTTGGGAAACTGCCTATTGTTGCCTGCCAGAGGTAGCAAAGGGGGGACCTACACTTAAAGAGGAAGATGGCATTAATCTAGAAGTAGAAGCAAACTGAGTAGTTATTGGAGTAGCATTAATTTCGAAATCCTCTTGCTTCAAGCTTTCTTCATTAGCAATTAGGTGATCATGAAGATCATCAAAGGAGAAAGACGAGTCACGGGCTCAGAGAGAGGTAGCAATCTCTCAAAATTCAAGCCCCAAATCGTTGAGAATTTACATAGTGAGGTCATCATCAATGAATGGGTGATCAACGGTAGCAAGCTCATTGGCAGCAAGCTCATCGGCCACAGTTTTGAGCAACTAAAGGTACTCTGCAATAGAACATCCATCATTCTTCATATTTTGAAGTTGTTCCTTAGAGTGATCACACGAGACTGAGACCGATTGGCATAAAGTTTGGCAAAAGTTTCCTAAGCTTGTTGTGCAATAGTAGCAACAACAATATAGGGAATGATGTTTTCGAAGGTAGAGGTGATATAAGGGCATGGTGCAATAGTTGATCTTGGCAAGTCAAGAATTGATAGCTTGGATTAGTTGCTATGGGGTAGGGTCGTGAGCCATGCAGGAAGCCTTCAAGCTCGTATCCACCAAGAAGAGATGCAAATTGAGCCTTCCAAGACAAGTAATTAGTCGGTGTAAGTTTCATTGAAAACGTTGTTGAGTTGAAGGAAAGGGGATTTCTAGTAGTGTTGTCATCAAGGATGGTTACTGTCAAATTTTTAAAGGTACCAGAATTGGGGCTTTCATCTCGGTTGGCCATGGGTGTAGGAGTAGGGGACTTGAGAGAGTGGGATGGCTCTGATACCACTATTAGGTTCTGAAGGTATGAATCTAAATAAGATTTCTTCATTGATACTTAATGGAGAAACACTATGTTGATAAATAGGTGCATACAAGTATAAAATCTATTTGAACTAAGAAACAATATCTAACTGAACCAGGAAATAATATATATAATTACAATCTGTTGATACTATAGATTTGGGAATTTGAGGAGATTTAGTGTCTTGAATAACCCAAGATGTATCATTATGCTACTTGCCTTGGAGGACCAAAAACCTATTTATATGCATATATATTTTTTATTTTATTCAACATCAATCTTTGTTTTATGGTTTACATTATATTAAATTACAAAATATGAGTAATTAGATAAAGAAGAGCCTTTAACATTAAGAATTATTTTTATCTAATAATAAGTGTTGTACAGTCTAAATTATAATATTTTGAATAAGTTTACATACATTAAATTAAATTTAGTCTTTGGTTTACAATGTTGTTAAAAGAAGTTACAATTTTAGAAATAAAAAATTAGAAATGTTTGGTATAATTCAATTTTATTAAATTGCATTAAACTAATCTTTAAATGAGAAATTAATTTCTTAATATTGAGAATTATTTATCATTAAAAATATTTTTTATCATTTAATATCATTCATACAGTAAAAAAAAAAAAAAGATCACATAGGAAATTACGTGCTAGAAGTTAACTTTTTCCTAAGTTTTTCCAAAATCGAATCTCATTCTCTGTCTGTCGTCATTATTCAATAGTAATTCGATCACCAATTTGGCATGGAAAAAAAAACCCAAAAGGGTTAAAGCCAGCTGTCATTCCTTTACTTTGTAAAAAAGTTCAATCTAACCCTTCTACTATGGAAGGGCCTCGTGTCCTCCCTGTACCATCGAAATGCGCAACGTGTCCTTTCTCTGCTATTGAAAATGTGCTGAATATCGTCTTTTTTTTTTCTTTTTTCTTTTTTTTATAGAAACAATAATTAAAAGTTAAAAATTAATTAAATTAATACTTTATTCATGATAAGATTTGATCATTAATTATAATTAAAAGTGTAATCTATTGATAATTTTATTGAGTTACACTGACCACCAATAAAATACAATATGAGAATGCGAATATCGTCCTTCCGTTCATAGTTTGTACTTTCTACCTCTGTTTAATTTTGACCGTTACTGGCAATGCTCACAAGTTTAACTCATTTGTTAATATTTTTTTTCAAAGATTTGACTTACATAGAGCTCACTATTGCCACTCCCCCCCACTTGTACACGTCAACCATTTTCTTGAATTTCATGTACTTTATTAAATCTATTAAAGAGTTATTAACAAATGCACCTTTTTATAATTTTTTGTATATTAATTAATATTAAAAAATAAAAAATTATTATTAATTTTATTATTAGTATTACGTGAATAATTTTAATTAAGTAGTTATTTAAATAATATTGATTTTTATTTTTTTAATATTAATTAATATAAAAAAATATAATAATTAT